TGGTAGTAATGCACTAAATAATTTTTATTTAATTAAATATTGCACCAAAGAACATAGAATAATAACATGAAAAGAGTAGACAATGTCCCTATAACAATCAATTTTTCTGGCTTTCTAACTATGCGACAAGAGCAGTTACAAATTCATCCAAGCTAGTCCTTGCTTTTCCCATGGGAACGAAGCTTGTATTAGAAGTGAAATTGATGGTTACCTGTTCAGAATACAATGTAAGACAATATGTCATTTGATAGATGAAAACGTTGGCTTTCTATTGGTTATAGGTAATATATAATTAAACATAAGAGAAATATCAACAAATCCCAAAAGAGGATGTGACAAGATGGTGTGGCAGGAGGTGTCTAATTTTCTATTTGATAGCTCTGTAACAATCAAAATTAAAGGCTATCAAATTCATTTCATAGTTACTGTAGGAGGGGGGGGGGGATAAAATAGAGAAGATACCTAGAGAAAATGATGCGCGTCACACTAGGGGAGTTTAGGATTTTTTAAATATTGCCTTATAGAATTAAAAACTTAAAACTTGTATACTATTAAAATATGGATTATTAGCTAATATTTTATGGTATACTAATTCGTAAAACATAGCCAAAATCTAAATTAATAAAATTTTGAATGCAAGACACTAAAACCTTGTATCATGCACAGTAAAGGATGCCTGTGTTGATAAAGTTAATGGATCTTCACCAAATATTGCATGAAGGTTTGTTATGTCCATGAGGAGATACATACAAATTTGTGGTTTCACATTGTGTTTTGCAGTTTTTATGACCGTTTTGCATTTTTTTTGCAATTACATATAAGGGAAGCAACATTTTTTGTCCTAAGATGACCTTTTATTAATAATGAATTTGCATCCAGGGGACAGGTACTCCAGCTAGTAATAATAACATCAAGAACAAATGGATCAACTTTTTATCAATATTTTAGCAGCCTTATCCATCAAGATAGAAGGTCTTGGGTGTAGTTTTAACAGAAAGTCTTTTTTAAAAGATGGTTTTTGCCCTTACATTCCATTAGAATTTTTGTAAAGTTCATGGGTGAACCCCTTCCATGAACCACAATCGTGGTTCATGATGGATGTAGTTTAACCACTCTAGTCAATTATCCTGCAAGTCTTGCCTTTTTCCTTTCTACCCACTACAGTTCATTGATATGAATGGAATCATTACTGTG